TTCCCTTTAGTAGAGAGAACAGATACCCCTTGGCTAGATGGGGACGATTTGCATAATCAGCTCTGATGGGGTGGGGTCAAGAAATGACGTTGACCTGTGTAGATCTACTCAATATCAAAGAGATGTCTGTTTGACCTGCAAGTCCACTTAGACCTGTATCATTCCGCACTTTAAGAAAAACGTAGTTACTAAGGTCAGAAACCAATGCTCTAATTGCTCCATCAAAATCGTAATATCATTCGGGGTCGATATCAAGATGGTCAAATAACTGCATTTGAAAAAGTTTAACATCTTGTGAAACTACATTTAGACGCCACATTTCTCAAAACTACGTACTGAGCCGATATTACTTTGTAATTCCAGTGTAGTTTATTCGAAACCATCCGATTTCTATTACAAGTTCTCCGATCCCCTTCTAATGAAGCCACGCTAGTTGGTATCATCCTGACAACAAACGACACGGATGATCAGATTCCTGGCAAGGCGGTCTTGAACTGTGGAACACCTGGGCACAGGTGCAGGTGAGTTTTTACTTCAAAGAGGAAACCAGGACGTGTTCAAGGTGTCAAAATAATTATCGGCACCTGGAGTGTGCTCCTTGGGGGATCAGAATACTGTTACTAAAACATTTATCCGGTTGTTTTTTTTAAGTAAGTGGTTTACGCTCACTTCAACACATTAAGATCATTTGTGATGCATCGTGCTGGAATCAGGCTCTCTCAATTTTTGGGTATGTAGAGTTATTGGTATCATCTTAAAGCTTGTTTGTCTTTATTTGGATGAAAAAATGTCCATTTATCTTAAATACAAGTGGAGATACTAGCGAAAGAAGTAGGTGGGGGTCACCTGTTTTCAGAGGTAAAATTAGTGAGAAAATGTCAGCCAAAGATTAGTTATTTCCTTAGCTTAAGAGTCCGAGGTAACTGAAAATGTACATTTTTTGTGCCTTTAATCAACGTTTTCATGAAAAATCCAAACAGAAATGAGTTCTTTAATGGGCATAACAGGGTAGAGCCAAAAAACAAAAATCAAATAAAAATTCAAAAACCCTCGGAAAAATGCAGGTTTCTTCACTTTGATTATTTTGACGAGAGCCTGATTCCACCACGCTGCCTCACATTTAGGAGCGAGGGATTTGATCCGGCCTATCAGGGCAAACATGGGCTGAAAACAGAGCGCTGGCTGAGAAAGATACAAAGTCCTATCAGAAAGCCCGAGATACTCGATAATTATAAATTCTCCCCACACAAGAATCGAAGTTCGGCCAACTGCTGATGACGACGAAGCGCCAAACCTCAACACTACAGACGCTGTCAACAGAGAAAGGATCGGCACACGTTTAGAGCAAACTCTTATGACGATAATCTGCGCCTCTTTTGTGTTCTTCAAGGAAAAAGTCGTAAGTTTAAAAGAAACACGACATATTCATCCAAAAACTAAACAATGGAAGACTTTCATTAGAAGTAGAAAAACTATAAGTCCAATTGACAGTTTATTTGTTAGCATTAAATCTGGCAAAATCCAGATTTGGCTAAATATTTTCACTTAAAAAAATAATAGATCTTAAAAAAACAACACCAACTCACAATATTATGATTAAAATCTCCCTTCCAATTTCCATTATCTATCTATCTATCTATCTATCTATCTATCTATCTATCTATCTATCTATCTAT